TGCTCATGCCCTGTCTCTCTCTGTCTCTCAATAATAAATAAATGTTAAAAAATATTTTAAAAATAAAGGTAACATTATTATTGTCAGCATTATCATTATAGCCCCATGAGGTCTGCCAAGAAGGTACTGTTACTCCTATTTTATGTATTGAAATCTGAGCCTCCAAGGCGCTTGAATGGCTTTCCCATGGTCATATAACAAGTAAATAGAGCGCCTAGACCAGATCTCACTTTCTACCCTCCCAGGTGGTTCGCTGTCTGCTACAGCAGGATTCTGCTGCATTAAAAATAAACAGAATATGGCTTTTGCCCCTTTGTAAATTCTGGCAGCAGCATCTGGTAATTCAATGTGTTTCAGAGCTAGGGCTCTTCCTGTGTTCTCTTTCCAGTCTCCCTCCCCGAGATTCAATTTCTTGAGTAAGCCTCCTGCCTTAGAGAACTTCAGGATGCCAGGTTTCTATGTCAACTTCATGTGAGGCTTGGGATATTACCTATTCTTCAGGTGGACCCTCAAGTGGGTAAATTTAGGGTTGTGCTGTGTCTCCCTTTCACTCTCTCTTTTATCTTCATAATAGCCCTGTAGCACAGGAGAAACTTACTTACCCTTGCCACTCAAGAAAAGGAATTAGAATTAGCATAAGAAACTGGTTCCAAATTATACCGCGAGGGGCACCTGGGTGGCTTGGTTGGTTAAGCAACCAACTTCAGCTCAAGTCATGATCTCACAGTTCATGAGTTCAAGCCCCGTGTCAGGGCTCCATGCTGACAGCTCAGAGCCTGGAGCCTGCTTTGGATTCTGTCTCCCTCTCTCTCTTTGCTCCTCCTCTGCTCAGCTCATGCTCTGTCTCTTTCTCTCTCAAAAATAAACATTTAAAAAATTAAAAGCAAATAAATTAAACTAAAAATTTCAAAAAAAAAAATTATACTGTGAAAAGTGTGGCAGAACCAGGATCCAAACCCAAGTGCGCCATACACATCTACTGGGCTAACAGCTCCATAAACAGGTCCACATAGAATTTTGTTTTTATCTACACCCCCTATATTTAGTAACAACAGCTAGAATGTTCCACGAGAAGAAAGTAAAAGTCAGACTTTCTAGCCACTTCTGATTTTCAAAGCATCTATATTCTTCTTTAGTTAGCAAAATAGACTCTTAGTGTTTTAGGTGGTAGGCTGAAATTCACACTCTCAGACTCTGAGCTATTGGGGTCCTCTCGTTTATCTAAGCCAAAAGATGGGAGAATAACACTGCCAGTGGGAAACCCAGTGCAAGGTTCATGCTATGTTGCTCCTCCTCCAGACTGTCCAGCTTAAATCCTGTGTCAAGATACATTGCTAAAGTTGATGAACTCAGACTATATCAGCTTTATATCAAGTTGCTTTCCAATGTCATTTAATGAAGACACTGAAAGGAATGGCCATATATAAAGCCATGTGGCAGAAAGGATCACTGAGTACAGGGTGGTAGGTAATTGCTATAAATACAGAATCAGCTGGGCCCATCTGGAAGGCCATTTGGATGGGCCTACTTGCTTGAAAGCCCTGGGAGCCTCATGGACAAGAATGTGCTCTATTGGAAAAGAGCACTGAAGTGAGAAGGGCTTAGTCCAGCATCATGGGAGGAAATGGTTGATTTCATGGACAGCCTGCTGTCTCTTACACAGTTTAACCTTTGGCCCAACACCCATCCTTTGGTTTCACCATCGTAGCTCAGTTCTGGTGTTGAGTGCTGGCCATAACAAAGAGAAAATAAAAATAAAGAACAGTAGTACTAAAATCTCTATAAGAAATAGAAGGAAGGCATTAGAGAAACCATCTAGCATAGCTGACTTTTAATTTCAGAGAGACTTGTTTTAAATCCAAGCTGTGCATTTACTATTAGCTATGTGACTTTGGGTATGTTACTTACAGTTTCAAAGTCTTTGTTTCCTAATGGGTAATAATGCTGATATTACCAGAATCAATCTCATAGTCATGGTATGGGAATTTAAATTAGATATCATACATAAAGGAGTAGAGTAGGACCTAAAAATAGCCACTACGGGTAAGTAACTATTATAACTCCTCTTCCTCTCTTCTGCAAAGTAACTTTTGGGATACTTGGAGTTAAGGAACCGAGTGGAGGAAATAGTTGAGACCATCTATGCAGACAACAACAGAGACAGGAAGTAGCCATGGAAAGCTAGAGCCCCAGATACTGCATGGGTGGCAGAGAACAGTGGCCTGGGACCTGGGGGCCTTGACCAGGAGGTGCAAAGGACAACATCCCCTCTGGAGATGGTTCTTCATTCACTCATTAATTCTTCAAATAGGCAGATGTTGTTCTGTCTGCTGTGTGCAGGCCATTGACCTCAGGGCTGGAGCAACAAACGATGAATGCACATGCCCTCTGCCCTCACAGAGCAGTCAGTCATTTTTGTGAGAACTGTGTTTATGTAAGACCCTCCAAGGACCTGCTGGTGATTTCTAGAAAGGTGATAAAGTCCAGAAGGGGTCTAGGGTTCTGACAATCCTGTGTGTGGATGGAGGCCAAGTCAGAAAGAAACTGCCTGATTCCAGTTACAGTCTTCCTGTGGTTCCACAGTTTGGGAAAACAGCAATTGCTAAAATATTGTTTTTGAGAAGACCACTTAGTGTTTCTTTCTGTTCGCCCTGCATAAAGTCCCAGAGGATCGCTCCTCCATAAAAGTAGTATCCCTTATATGTGCAATTATTTTGAATACTTACAACAGTTTACAGAGTAATATTCTACCCTCATTTTGTATTTGAGTTGGCTAGACTCTCATAAAAGTGAAGCCCAAAGCATACAGGATACATGGTGAATCTGAATTTTGGCTTTCTCCAGAAGCCACACTACCCAAGACACCAGCGGGGGGGGGGGGGG